CATTTACAAAGGATTTAAGAAAATGCATGTTGGGTGAGTATGAAATTGGTGAATTTCGAAAGAAGTGGTCTGAAATGTTGAACAAGTTTGAGTTGCATGATCATCCTTGGGTTATAGAGTTATTTGAAAAGAGGAAGATGTGGTGTACAGCTTATATTAGAGGGGCTTTCTTTGCTGGTTTTAGGGCAACTTCTCGGTGTGAAGGATTACATTCTGAGTTGAAAAAATATATTCATCCGAAGATTAATCTGACAGAGTTTGTTCAACAATTTAATCGTCTTGTGAGTTATATGCGTCATAGGGAAGTTGAAGCTGACTTTGCATCAATTCATGGTGATCCTGTTCCAGAAACAGATTTTCATAACCTTGAGGTATCGGGGGCAAAGTGTTATACGAAAGAAATATTCAAATTATATCGTGATCAGCTTCATAGTTCATGTTTGATGAGGGTGATTGGTTGCAAGCAGACATTTGGTTGTTGTATATACATAGTGAGAAAATATGAAATGATGCACAAAGAATGGCATGTGTCATATCAATCAAGACCGTGTGATTTGAAGTGTTCGTGCTTAAGAATGGAATCAGTTGGCATTCCATGTGATCATATACTTGCAGTGTTGGTTCATCTAAATGTATCAGAGTTACCAAAATGTTTGGTGTTAAAAAGGTGGACTAAGTTGGCGAAGGATGAAGTGAAGGGCAATGTTAGTACACATAGGTGGGACTCTGAGAAAGATGCTAGATACTTGTCATTAATGGAGTATTTTAAAGAGCTTAGTACTTTGGCATGTGAAACATATGATGATTATGTTGATAAAAGGGATAAAGTTGTAAATGAATTAGTTGAAATAAGAGGTAAAAAAGGTCATGAATCCGAAGAAGGCAATGCATTGGGTGATGAATTCAGTGTAGTTATAAGAAATCCTGCCATTGCTAGAAGTAAAGGAAGGTCTGTTGTTGAAGGTTCATGGCGCAAAAGTAGGAAATCAAAAAGGAGTATTAAGTGTAGTTTGTGTAAACAAATAGGTCATAACATGAGAACGTGTCCAAGACAACAAAATTTGGATGATATGGAACAAAGCACAGGTGGAATGAGTTGTGAATTTGAAGAAAGTTATGTAGCTTACGAAAATGAAGAGGTAAGGAATATAAATTATAATAAAATTATGTATTTGTTGGTTAAACAAAGTTAAATGTGATGTGTGTAATGTTGTGATTGTTGTGATTGTAGGAAGATGAATACATTAAAGATTTGTTTGACAATTGCGATGAATTTGATAATGGGGTTGCTGAGATGTCTGTTTCACAGTCAGAATCAATATATAGTTATGAAGTGTCGTTATCTCCAGCATTCAGTGATGCAGGTAATGTTTATGAATTAGTAAGTGAAGTGTGTTATTGTAGGTGTATGAGAAGTATTAAGTTAATTTTTATTGTATTACTATGATGTTATAGTAATTTACTTGTGTATGTGTAATATTGCAATTAATGGATTGCTGATAACTGTTATTAAATTTTATTTGCAGGTTTTTTATACAATTGATGACGGATGCAATAGAATGGAAATGCATGAATTGACATAGTTTGGATTGAACATTTAGATGAATGTGACTTTTGTTGGTTTTTTATGGAGGAGTTTAATTTTATATTGTTTTTGATTGAAGTTGGAAAATATTATGCAGTAATTAAATTATGCTAGATCAGTTGATGTAGTTTGGATGGAAAAGTAAAGATGAAATACAGTTTTGTTGTGTATTTTTGCAGCAAATGTATTATGTAATATGATTAGTTGAATTGATAAAAGATATAATTAATTAATATTTTAGTATAATAGAAAAACAAAGGGCTGGTTGTTTTATACACTAACACAGGAATTGAGTTGTATTGTTGAGACAGTTAATGAGAAACTAATAAGAATTGATTATTAATAATAAATTATTAATTATTTTAATTTATTGAATTAATTTTGGGTTTCGTTTAGGGTTGGTTAATGGTTTAATTGGAATAGGTAATAATTTGTAGTTAATGACCTTAAATTTTATACGCTGAGCATTTTATGTAAGTGTCATTTTGTAAGTTGTTTTCGGTTAAAGGAGTATAATAAAAGTATAAAAAAAAATAGTCATTGATGGGTTTAAAATGTTTTGGCTAAAATGAATGTCTGAAAAAGAAAAAAAATGATTCAACCCTTGTAATTGGTGAAAAAGAAAATAAATATTGTATGTGCCGTTTGTGCAGTTGTTTTGTTTTAAACGTCAACAGCTGTCGGGGAATAAAGACTGGATTTTGTCTTTTTGAATATTAAAACCACCCCAAATTTATGTAATTAATTAAAAATTCCATTTTGATTGCAATGAAATGGAGTCATTAGTAGAAATTTAATCAGCCTTGTGTATTAAAGTTTTTTGTTACTGTAATTTAAAAATTGATAATTTCTAATATGAAACGAAAATATTTATATATTATGAAAATATTGGGTTGCGATTGAGGTAGGTGTTCTGTATGTTGTTCGCACGTGGAAAGTATAATCCCAAAATTAGGGTTTATTCCTGCAATTATACGGTGAAAATTTAAGTAAAAAATAAAACCATGGATGAGAGTAATAATACAAAAAACGAGATAAATAAAATGTTAGAAAATAAATAAATGTAAATAAAATAAAAGAAATATATTAATAAAGAAACGTTTGTTATTGTGGAGGTGTATTGGTGTGTGGTGTTACCTGCAAAGACAACCAAATATATATTTCGACAGCATACAAGGAAAGTAAATATTTTCATGCAAGTAATAATTTAACACATAAAAATATATAAATGGAATGACAATATTAAAGTGCGAGTATTAAAAAAATTATTTACAAAATATAAATTGTTCAGTTCTAAATTTGAAGTAGCAGTAGTTCCCGTAAACCCGGGCATGGTGAGAATCAAGCTTTCTGAACATTCAAAACTAAATAATTGGGGTCATTCATTTTTTCAATTTTCAACATTTGGTGTTTGTTGTATCCTTGTCTCTTAATCAGCTGACCCCATTCTTTGCCCACGTAAAACTCGTTCTTGTTTCGGAACATATCCCGGCGATAATCACAAATGACATGGTTAAACAGGAATCGTCAACATTAACCTTAACGCGCACAGGTTAATTTCCCATCAAAAAATTTCAATTGCATGTTTAGGAACAAATACATGAGCATAAACTGCATCGCATGCATATGAGGTAGGGGCATATGGAAGGGCGTTACACAAAAAAAAATGGGATAAATAAAAGAATCATTCCTGGCTTGCATTTTCTTTGCATCCATGCATCCATGCATTCTACTTGCTATGGGTCAAGAAGAGTCATCAGGACAAAGCACTCGTAAACGCTCAAAAGCCAAGCATGAGTCGAAACGGTGACAAACAAAAACCCCAAGTGATTCTATGTGCCCACTAAGCAAAGACACATCAATAGTGGAATAAAATGGAATCAACCAAGCAAGCAAAAAGTTAAGTTTTTGAAATCAAACAATCATAACAAGCAAACACATATAAGTCTAAGACATATGAAACAATCAATACAATATCCTTTTAACATAGGCCAAAAATATAAAATGAAGCAAACTTAAACAAAGCTAAATCAAAACTAAAACTTCATCTTCAAAAAGCTCTTCAAAAGGGCTTTAGACTCAACAGATACAACATGTTGTATTGAACAACTTGAAATATATTTTTGATGCACAAGTTTGGCAGGTACAACCTTACCCGTCATAGAATGTGTAACATTCTATGATGGGTGAGGTCAAATTCGCCATAGAATGTGACATGTTCTATGTTGCATGTGGTCATACTCATCATAGTATGTGAGTGCCAATTTGATAAAATCATCACATTTGGTGCCTATATATTATGATAGACGTTGACCACTCGACATAAGAAGTAAATTTTCTATGTTGCGTGTTGAGTCGTCATAGAATATTTGAACATTCTATGTCACTAGAATCTATGTCGCATTCAGGACCAACATAGAATGTCCAAAACACCTAACATAAAACTCTTTCTCACACTAGTGAACATTGTTTATCTCCTTTATCCTTTCTTTTTATTATGAAAAAAATGGTATTTTGTAATTTTGTTGGATTAGAACAACTTTATTATATGATGGTGTAGGTTGGAGAAGTGGATGATCTTTCTTCTTTAGCCTTCATCGAACAACAAGGATCTCCTTCTTGTGTTTGAATCCGATTAAAGTAAGGAAGAAATTGAACTTCAATCAAGGAGAGATGTTCCTAAGCTACGAATGGAAGCATCCAAGCAAAAGAACCAAAGGAAAGTTCACACTCAAGTTTAGGAAAGGTGGATTTTCCTAGAACTAAGGCTAAGCATTTGGTGACTTTTAGGAGAGAATATAGTTGAAGCAAAGTCACAAATTCTCATATATGCAAAAGTGCATTACAAGAGTGAAGGTTCAAGCATATAAAGCCACAAATCAAGGGAATTTGGCGCCATCCCATGTGCACTCAAAGTGGCGCCAAATTTGAATTCAAATTTGAATTTGAATTCAATTTGGACGTCCACTTGCACCATGCCATGTGCAGGTGCAGCCCTCCCTTCTAGAATCCTAATTGCATTCAGAGGTAATTTAGGGTTCATTTAAGTGTACACATGTGCATCCACCTTTGGCACAAAACATGTGACTCAAATGAAACTCTAATTACTCCTAAATGTAATTAACATTCTATGATTCATGCTTAATACTTATTCCTTCTAAATTCCTATTCTAATGGCCTAAATACAATGGCCAAACAAATACAATGGAAAGGAAAAATTACAAGAATGAAAATGAGCCCAATATTGGGTACCAAAAGCCCAAAGGCCCATGAAGCCCAAAACTAGGCCCAATAAGCCT